CCTCCTCCCTTGTGAAGCTATGAAAAGTACCAGCCCTTTTGAGGTTTTTTTCCCCAAAGAGTTGCAACAGTTAATCGCTTCAATCCGTCTCATAAAAGTAGACTCTTCTAATTAACAGAAGCAGGAGACGGTATCTTTTTCACAGGCAATCTTCAGCCATTAACAATAACTTCAGCGACTCACTTACCAGCTTGCAAAACCAGACACCAGAGGCTATCAATCAGCCTTACCGGCATCTCTCTGCTGCAAGGTAAGTCACCTTATTACCTGGCATGAGAAGGTAATAAACTGCAAATAAATAAAATCAGAATTCCCCAGTGGCTGCTCCCCTATTTACAAGCTTGCCCTTTGTCCCTGGTTTTGTTTATTTTGTGTATCAAAAATGGGAAGAACAAGTCCAACTTCCAGAGCCCAGATACCAAGTAGGAAGGACATGAAGTGCAACCCAAACCTTTAGCTTTACATTTTTATTCATTTGCGGCTCCATGTCTAGTTACGGAGAATTTGCCTTTTGTAAAAGCAATGTACGGACCTACAGTTTTTATAACCATATAAGGCTTCAAGTTGCTTCTGGTTTGTCTTTTTTTTTTTCCCCTATGTACAGTCAGAGTAACACTCAAAATAAAAGACAGCTCAAAAGCGCGACAGGTTTCCTTTTTGGTGCTCTGGGAAGGTGAACTCGTGCGGAGTGGCTCCGAAGCGCCAGGGGTGAGGGTGGGTGCATCCCCATACACGCGTCTGGGTCCCGAGGGGCACCAGGGCGAGGAGGTGCCTTCCACCCACCGCAGCGGGACGGCTCCCGCGTGTGCCACCTACTACGCGTGGAGCCCTTCCCGAATCACAGACCAGGGAAGGATAAGTAATGAGAAGTCTTGTGGGGCTAAAAAGAAAAAAATACCGCACAGATGGAGAACAGCTGAGAACCTGGTCCATCTCTGTCAAGCCGGGCCTTATTGGAGATTGCTACGTTGGTCCTCCCCTCACCCTTTCGTGAAGCGTGTGTCTCAGCCATGAGGAATTTCCCAGTAGCGAGAGGCATCTCCTCCACGCAAGGATGCTGACACGCCAGTGCTGCTGTTACTCGGAGAGGAGCGTTGATCTCATCACTTCTCACTCACGTACGCCAACCATGGGCCATGACGGACGCCTGTCAGCGACGCCCCGAGGGCATCCCGTGTTCCCGGCAGGCAGATTCTCTTCTAATCTTACATGAACCAGCTTGTGGCAGGCAATCGGACGTCAGGGGTTGATGCAAGATGGCCAAGCCCAGATCTTAACTGATTCCAAGCTGTCTGGCCCCAGCTACCTGCTAATGAGTTTCTCAGAGGCAAATACCAGAGAAGTGAATGATGCCACTAAAATTATTACAGAAATTCCATTGGTGCCTTCTCATTGAACCTTGAAAGAGGGGTTTTGGGCCTAAAGTTAAGGCTGTGGGTGACTAGCTTTGGGCATTTACCTCCAGAAGGAATGAAAACCGCATCACTCTGTGCCCAACCCAGCATCACACTGGGGGTCTGCTCCTGAAGAAGGAGAAGAGAGAGATAAAACAGGACCATAACTACACATATACCAAATGTGGCGGGAGGCTTATGGCTACTCAGGCAAAACGCTTGTGTAGCACTTTCCCTGCCTTTAAAGAGAAGTCGTGTGGTCATCACAGGAAATTGAGGTTCTAGGCTAGGCCTTCTTCGAAAAATACAGAGCTGCTTTAACAGCAAGCCAATGTGCTATACTGTTAAAATATCTCCTCTGGTTATTTTTCAAGATCCCTCTTCCCTTCCCTGGCTGAGATACAAGAGGTAAAATTGCAAAATCAGTCTAGATACAGGAAGTGACGATTGGGATTTCCATACTATGACTGCTTGACCCTCAGCTGTTGCACTGGGAACGCTCCAGCGCCAACACGATTACATTATGTATTGAACTAAAACGACTCAGGACAAGGTACTTCTGCTTCTCAGCAAAACACCTCTTTAGAATTCTGTGCAAGAAATGACAAAAAAAAAAAATCTCCATCATGTCATTTCTTCCAGACGGCAGCATTTTTTTTTTTTCTTAATAAAATTGCTCCCTTTTTGAACCCGAGGAGCCCCCCAGCCTCTGCTGCATCCTGTGGGCAGCAGTTCCTCGGATGAAGGACACACTGGAAGAGGAGGAAGCTCCTCGGGCTCTGAAGCTGCTGCTTCCCTTGCGGTAGAGGAGACAGTCAACAGCTATGCCAGCTTACCCTCCATGTAACCCACAGCCTCCTCGGCCCCCGTTACAAACCACTGCCGTCTCTTTTCCACGCTGAACGGTCCTAGCCTGCTAACTCGCTCCTCACACCTTCGTCTCACCCCATCAAGAGACCCAAGATGGGGAGAAGGACCCCGTCTCGCCCTGCGATCCTGCAGCCCCCAACGTCTGCCTGGACAGGGTCCAGCGGGGTGGGTGCCGTCACCGCAGGGCCGTATCCACCCCACTGCCACCGACGCGTGAACAAGCTTCGAGTGTGCATGTATGACCACACCAATTGCAGTGTGGACACGTATCCACAGACTACACCTAAAGCAAACAATATGAAATGGTATGAGGAAAAAATAAAGCGAGAGAGAGCTGCAAAAAAATAAATGATAAGGGCAAGGAAATCAATAGTGCAAATATTGAATCAAGGATAAAATAGCTTGTTCACGCATTAAAAACAGCTTCAGAGAACAAGGAAAATACTGACAGAATACCTTCCCACCTACAGGATATGTGTTTGGCTGCACATGTCCGAGTGAGAAAACAAACTTGCATGCCAGTGTCTTCAAGTAGAATGTCTTTCTGCAGGGTGGCGTTAACAGCTTCTCCCACCCGTCAGGGTGTGTGTGTGTGTCTATAGACACACAGATGTACACGACCCACAGCTCAGACTATGCCATGTCACACCCCCACCAGCCAGCAGCGCAGCCAAAACCACCACGTGCTGGGAAGGGAGAACCTTCCCAGACCAGGAGGATTTGCAGGAAGGAGCTGGTCCCGCTCGGTGCTGAAGATCCGGCTCACACGCTGCATGGGAGCAGACCCAACGCATGGCGGGTGCGAAGGCTTTGTCCCACCCCTGGACACGGGGATGTCACCTGCGGTATCACCTCGGTATGGTGGGACTGACTGAGGGCAGGGATCGGTGGCTCTTTGTCCTGAAAAGCAACTGAGTCAGCCCACTCCTGCTTGCCCCTCCAGGCCGTTGTCCTTCACCGCAGCACGAGATGCTCTCACCACGGTGGGCAGCTGGGGTAGCTCCATGCCCACCAGCGCTCCTTAGGAAGGGGTTCTGTGCAGCACTGCTTCCAGGCAGAGCCATGCCGGTGAGTTGCCTAACTCAGGAGTGTCCTGAAGGGAACCAGTCATTCGAAATACCTCCTCTCTGGATGAGGAAACAGCCGCTTGGCAGTCGGAGATGTAGCAGTTGTAATGCCTCATCCTTCCCTGGGGCACTGCTCATTTCTCCCTAAGTGTTGCCTTAATTTACTGAAAGCAATTAGGGTCAGAGCCCTGGCTGATGTTCAGATGGCTCACGTGCACCGAGAGGAGGTCACGGTGCCAAGCAGAGTTGTTGGACTCCTCTCTCACTCCAAAACCAGAGAGGCTCCGCTTGTGTCAGGGGAGGAGGCGAGCTGCTCGCGCGGCCAAGCCGCAGCCCCGACTCCCACCGACGGGATGAAACCGCAGCTCGCAGTGACCTGATTGAGCAACGGGTTCAAAACGTGCGTGCCTCTTCCAAAAAGTGGTGGTACCACCTGTCACGCCCCACTTCCTACCACTCTTCCCAGCCCTTCCCTCCCTGTTATTTCCATTGGCTTTATCCCCGCAGGGTGCCATACAAGGCCGGTGCAGGGGTGCAGGCCGTCCCCTCAACCAGCAAAGGTTCAAATGCACAAAGCGCTTGATGATCAGCAGCTCAGTACGGTGGGGTCCTCCTCCTTTGGTAACCGTGCTTTTGTTCTCAGGCTACAAACACATACGCAGGCGTCTGTTACGGTTTCTGGGGTCAGCCAACAAGCCTCTGCTGGCCTAGGTGTATATGGCACCTCACGGAGGAACCTCCTTTTCTGTGGCTCTGCAGCATTTCATGGGAACTGCCAAACTTGAAGGCAAAAGGGCATACCAGTTTCAGTTAAAGATGGTGCTGTCCATGAAAACCATCCCTAGGTCACAGAAAGTCCAACCTCCTGCCCCAGTTGTGACGGTCACCAACACTAGATCGCGGCAGTTGAGGTCTTGTCTAGCTGAGCCTCAAAAACCTCCATGGGTGGAGACTTTGCAGCCTCCCTGGGCAGCTTAACCTCCTGGTGACGGTTTTTTTTTTGGATGTCCAGCTTGAACTCCCAAGACATAACCTAGGCCTGTTGCCTCTTCTTGTTCTGGCCGCTTCTATGGAGCGGAGCTTGGCTCCGTTGCCTCTGTAACTCTTCTCCAAGCTGGTGTCGGCTGCTGCCAGGTCAGCCTGAGCCTCCCTGCCTCCAACAAGCCCTCATCCCTCAGCCTCTCCTCGTAGGCCCCTGACATCTCGGTATCCTTGTGCCAGACCAGTTTCCCACCTCCTCTCTTGAACTGGGGGGGTCCAGCACTGGAAGTGACACCCCAGGTACAGCCACTGACTACGTCAGGGACCTGAGGGTCCCACCAGGACCAACTGCCCCTGCCCAGCCCCCCGGGCCTCTCCCTCCACCCTGCCCATGGCCCAGGACCCCATTTCAGATTTTACAGCCAAGTCGCTGACCTTTTTTTTGGTCTTAAAGTATCTAGAAACAGACTTGCCTTAGAAAGGACACTGAATCACCTAGCCCAACAACCACTTTCTGCCTGAAGCTAGAAGATCTTGCTTTACAGTTTAAAATACTTTCTTTCTCCCTCAGGACCACATTTTCAGAAATGTCATCTTGCAATCCTTTCCTTCAAAAAGTGACGTGGTGCAACACCCCACACACTTGAGTTCTAAAGGCAAACTCTGGGCTCTCATGGGAAGGCTGCTACCTCTGACCTGAGCTCACCCAGGTTCTCCTCTGAGACCAAGGGAGCTGCAGGCACCGTGATGTTTGCTGTGGATGAGCACCCATCCTGCCCAACTCCCCTCTTCAGCTCTCAGACCCCTGAAACCAAGGCTTGCTCCTGCTCTTCTGCAGAAGGTGAGCAGAGCATCTGGCACCGTGAACACATCAGGAGTAGCAACCATTTATTCCTAACTTTATGGTTTTCCTGTGAGAGTCAAGGTCGGAGCCATGGCACCACTCTTCCGGCATGTTGAGTCACCAGGACTTCCTTCTTCAGAACACCCCATCGGATGCAGTATTTTAGCGGAATTAAGTGGCACCCTTGCAATGTGATTAGTATATTTAATGTCTCTGAAGGGTCAAGACAGGGCTCTCTGGTAAATTCCTTGCACATTTTAAATACACCAAACTCAGCAGAAAAAGTCTACTGATCTTATTTATTGCATCTACTTCTATTACTTATCACCTGGGTAAACATACCATTCTTGAAGTTCCTTTGATGTAAGTTGTGACTGAGATGTTGTACAAACCTTCCAAGTTTTGGCAGCTCCTTGTCAATGACAACAGGGACATTTCTCAGGTTTTATGTACAGATCCTTATCAGTAAAACTATACTTTATGGTTCAACTGCAACTATAATTTCATTTGACTTTGTTCCCTGTACAGGAATACAGGGTATCAATTACCTTAGAATATAATAGTCTTGGACTTCGTTTATACAACAGATTTTTCAAACACTTCCCACTATTAATTCAAGAATACTTACTTCAGTCTTCATGAGCGACATTGTGAGCCTTGCTGTTAACCATGGACCTCCTTCTACTGTTTAAAATGTGACACGGTATAGACCTGCTGAGGAAAATCTGATGAACAAGATGCTGACAAATTAGGGTTGTGTTTGAGAATGAGGGCAAGGTGCAGGAAAGACTCATTACAGCCAATGCCTGGGAGATGTGCAAACAAAAAGTATTTTGCTGGAATTTGAGTGGAAATGTGTGCTCGAGACTCTTTAAAACTACCTCAGCTCAAGTGTGCAAAACCTCCATTCAGGCACACTACTGTCGCTCCCGCGTAAGGATATGCCCTGGTAAACCAAGGTCTTGCAGCTGGCCATCTGCCACCGCTGAAGGCTGGGCTGGCGATTAAAGCAGAGGACAGATGCTCTCTATTAATCCCTTCCTTCCCCAGAAGGAAGAAGGGGAAGAAAAGGAGAGACTTACGGGTTGGAAAATTAAAACCACTTTAATAAAACAGTAACAATGAAAAAGAGTATAATAATATTAATACCATTACTACTTACAATAGAAATAAAAATATACAAAACCAATATTGAGCTTCCTAATGATGATCATGGGATCACGCGCCACAGCAGATGCACTGCTGAAGCGGCAGGGCAGGCACCGGGATGTCCCAGACTGGACTCCGCAGCAGATGGGAACCGGATTCAGGAATACATGAATTGGGATTGGAGGCAGGAGGAAAAGCAGAGTCAGAATGAGCAGAGTCCCATAACGATGCTGGCCATGAACGAAGAAGGGCTGATGCCTGTGATCCCTTCGCTTTATACAGAGGATGACGTGAATGGGATGGAATACCTCCTTGGTCAGTTTTTGGTCAGCTGTCCCGTGCGGGTGCAACCCTTTTACGCCTTTTCACTTGTGGACCATAAGAGAGCCAGCAGTGCCCTTGGTTCCCATGGGAATAAGTACAAACATGGGCTTTTCTGCATACCAATCCTACCGTTACTTTAGTAACAACCATAAACATCAAGCGTTACCAGTTCTGAAAGCAGACATTGTCTGAAACACACGCAGTCAACTTCAGAAAGTACAATTACTTAGAAAAAACTTAACTGAAGGAAAATCTTCTGAAAGGAGAATTGGTCTGGTTTTAGCCAAAACCAGGTCACCATGTCAAGTCCCTGCTTCCCAGGTGGCTGGACGCATCCCGCTCTTTCTCTCTCCACGGCTACCCAAATTGCTCCCCAGGTGCAAAGACCCAGGTCGGTAAGGAGAAAAGGCACCCAGAGCACGCTGTGCTCTTCCCCACCACATACGCCAGCTCCTCTCTTTGGAGGGAAAGACTGACGAGCACACCAAGGGGAGAGGGAAAGGCTTTGCCCCTCTTGGGACAGGGCTGCCAGATGTGACGAGCTAGGATGCTCTCCTGAAGCAGGGGACTTGGAGAAAACAGCCCCTGGCCTCTTCTGGGGACACTGACTTGTCATCTTTCTGATAGGAAGAAGGAAAAGGCACGAACCCAACCCCAGCAGCATTTCCACCCACCAGTCGGTATTTACGCTCCTTCTGGACACGGCACAGATCTGCCAGTCATGACAAACCTGACAGGTTCCGATATGGAGGCTGGCAGAAATGTGTCCTTGGGTTTTCTGCACATGCCACAACCGTGACTCACTTTCTGTGGTTACAAGAAGACAGAGACAACCTGGCAAGCCCAGAGCAAACAAGTGATATCACCAGCATGATGCATACATTTACAGGCATCATTATATTTCTGGATTAGGATTGCAACTAAAAAATTTCCAAGTAAAACAAGATGTGTGGGCAGAGGAAAGAAGTCGATACCTTAGAAATGACGATTCCTGACACATGCATCGTGTCGACAGGTACCTCATCCTGAACAGAGAGTAATCACTGACCCCAAATTTAGCACATGTGTGAGTACCGGTGATCTGCTTGATTACATCGCACGAACGGGAACCAGCATCATCTAGGGGTGTAAAAAAAAAAAGTCACTTGAGAAACTCCATTTTACCAAATGTTAAAGCAATTGCCAACTTAAGTGGGGAGGGGGGATGTGTTGAACATGGACAGTCCTAGTGAAAGCAGCTGACTGTTCACATGCAGGCTGTTATACTGTCCCAAAATTCCAGTTTGACCTATAGACAGCAGGAACGGTGATCGAAACCCCATTCTGGTTAAGAGTTTAAAGGAAAGAGCAGCAACCTTACAGTAAGTAACATGTCAGGAATGGGTAAGTGGAAATTACAGTCGTCAGATACAAATAGCAGATTAAAAGGTGTATGTGACTGATGGGGGAAGATGAAGGAATTAATGAAAGGCTCCACGGCCTTAGAGGCAGCGGCAGGCATGGGGCCATTTCAGGAGGCAGACAGGCAAATCAGGAAATGCAGAGCAGAAACATCAGCTGCCTTCACTGTCTACTTCTGATTGCTTTTCTATTTCGGGACAGGTCCTCTTATGGAAAAGTACTGATGCACAGGCACCTTCCACAGCCATCATGTTTACTTTCAGCCTTCTCCAAACTGGGAAAGCTCTGCAGCTGCAGGGTGTGAAGAGGAGGAGTGGCTGATAAGCCTCTGGCCTTGATTTCCACTATACTGACTCAGAGCAGAGCAGCTCCCTCCGAGGCTATCACTGCCACCATACCATCACTGACCTGCCAGGAAAGACACGACCAATGTGACTTTGCAAGTCAGGCCATCAGCAGGCGAGCAGGGGTTGGCAGGTCCATGGCCGGTGTGTTCGGAGCTGGCTGGGGACTGGGGATGCCAAGACGAGGCAGGTCGGTGAGGGGTGATGGGCAGCATGGTGCCGTGCCCCCTCTGGCAGCCATCAGGCCTCCTTCTTCTCCACTGGGAGCCACGTCGGCTTGGGCACAGCTGTGTGCAGCAGCATGAGGCCGCAGAGCGTCATGGGGAGGCCAACCCACCACAGAGGTGTCCACGTCTCCCTGAAGAGAAGCTTGCCCAGGATGGCCTGAGGGGAAAGACAGAGACAAAGCTTTGCTGGGCCGAGCAGACCGAAAGCCTCCTGCGCTGCCAGAGCTGTGAGGGCTTCTGGAAAAAATACTGCTTGAGCAAACTCCTGCTGGGACCACCAAGAGAAACGGCTGCTGTGGGGGACGCTCGCTGGAGATGACCTACTCTACCATCCAGTCTGCAAGCACAGCCATACAGCAGTCCCAAAGCAGGATTTTGGCAGAGGCGCGTGTGCTTTGCTGCCTTCCCAGCACCTCTCGGGAGCCAAACCTCCAGTCGACTGGGAAACTCCAGTTGATAAAAAAAGGGCCTCACTGACTTGAGTTTTGGACACCACCACGAGCTGACTGCGAGCTGGAGCACATAAACAAGGCGGACAGCTGCTGAGAGTGAAAAGCAAGCAGAAAAAAAGTGCAAGTCAAAAACGGTCTTGCTGTCACTAGAGGTGGTGCATCTTCACACCCAGCTCAGGTGGCTTTGGCTTGTCACAGGTGAGGTGTTGCAAAGGAAAAGCAAAACAAAGCAAAGCTCCCAGCTCCGGCTCTCACGGGCAATTAGAGAAGTTCAGTAAACCATACAGCTGCTGCAAGGCACCGCGCGGGGCAGCAGCACCATTCCTCCTGCACCACCCAGAGAAACCCTACAGCCTCTGCCATGAACAACAGGCAGAGCAGCCGAGGCCCGATACAGTCACTGCGCGTCTGCTTGTAACTCTCCCTTTGCGGTCAGCGATGCTAGCTGTGCTGGGAGGTGAGCTATGAGCAGTTACGTCCAGTGTGACTATTCCACATCGCTGTGCTCCTCCAGGATTCGGCGCCTGGGGAAGGGATCTACTCACCGAAGAGATGAAGTTGGAGGCTGTCGTTGTCACAGAGGCTGCGGCCGAGGAGGAGGAGAGTCGCAGGGCTTTTGCAAAGACCGTCCACATCACCGCGTTGCATGCAAACACCAAGCCAACACAGCCGATGCGAAGCAGCACAGACAGCTGTAGGACAAAAGGGAAAACCCTGTGTAGTTTCACCAACCACTCACTCACCCTCACGATTCCATGAGCACTGTGGAGCCAAACCTAACCGCGTGGGCTGGTATTACGCAAAGATGAATATATTAAATCGCCGAAGGAAACAGAGCTGAGGAAACAGTCTCTGGACAGAGCATGACCTTGGCATGTCTTGCTGTGAGTCCAACCTCAGACTACAAGCTGAGAAGTGCCAGGACAATGTGCAGCAGCTGCCATGCAGAAGTCAAACTTCGGAAAGCTCTCCAGCTCATGATGTGGTGCACACGTGATGCAGTGAAATGCCCTTCACTCATCGCTAGATGTAAGGAAATGGGTCAAATTCGGCCCTGCCAGAGACAATCACCAAAGACACATATGCTGGTGCCGCTTGTGGTCCAGGACCCACCTGTTGTGAATTTCAGCTGAGACTAGTGTGGTCCCAAACCACTGGTCCTCACCACCTCCCATGACCTGGCCTGCCTTGCTGCTGCAGTGAGGGCAGAGCAGGGTCCTCTGGGAGGAAAGAGAGCTGAGGGGCTTCACACTTTATTTTGCACGCTTGCGAGAGAGCCGATTTACTGAGAGCTCTTTGCTCCAGCATTCAGCGGCAACAAAACCACCTCTGAATTCAAGGGCCTTCAAGGCCAACTAGGTTCTCAAGAAAGAACAAGCTGACAAGACACATAACAGCCTCAGTCTGAAAAAAGGGTACAGTTTTGCCTAAAAAGCCTTCACCACTCACAGTCTCCCCCCACACCTGTAGTTTTAGCTGCTGCGGCCATCTCCCTAGCCCCTGGGTACCATGTCCCTGACGTGAAGACACCCGGGGAGGAGATCACAGGCAGATCACGACTCTCACAAACACGCAGGGAACGCAGGAGGGCAAGTGAAAGCAAGGCTTCGTCTAAGCCTGTAGCCATCATGCCTTCATAGCCCATCAGCTTTCAGTCCCTGCTGGGATGGATCTTGAAGCAGACAGCAATGTAGGTGTGAAGCCACCAACACACACAGCTGAGAGGTGGCACCTGCCCCGTGGGAATGGCTGCACTGTGGCCCCCTGCCAGCACCTAAATCCATGGGGGTCACCAACCATGTTCTGCTCCCACTCAGAAAAAGAAATCATTAACTGCAAGCCACAGGGATTTCTGAAGCAAGTGCTGTAGCAAGTACAAAGCTAAAAGGAAAAGGCTGTAAAGCAAATCCCTGCTCGATGGCCGGCACAAATTCTCTGAGGCTAACTCCATCTCAGAGAGGGATGATTCAGCTGTTTGGGCTTGTTTTGCCCCACTTGTGGCAAAGGTCTCCAACTTTATCAGGGTAACGGTAAATGATCCAAATCGATTCCCATGGATGAAGCACTTTGCTTTCCTACTGCAGAGTGACAGGAACACCCCCAGGTGTTCCCCACAAGGAAGGAGGTAGGTAGAAATTCCTCCCCTGCCAAGGGCTCAGCTGAGCCAGCCCAGTGAGTCAAGGATTATTGTTCTGATTGTTTTTCTACAAGATTAATTTCAGTGTACATTGCAGATAATCCAGAATCACTCCTGAAGTGGCAGAAGTAATTTTAGATGAAGTTTAGCAAGGGAGAGAGGAAAGTAAAGAAAAACTTTTGTTCAAGTGAAATGACCCCTCCTCATTCAGCCGCTCCCAAGCTGGGTCATCACAACACATCCTTCTGGCTGGGAAATCCACCTTTGTGCTGCCATTGAGTATCCTGCTACCCGACGTCATAACCCCTTAGAAGCGTCAATACGCTTTTAACATTTGCTGCTGCTTTCCACACTGCACAAGTGATGGCCACTCTCTTAGGCTTACTTTCAGATTTTTGTAGTTCTTCCTCAAACACAAAACTGCTTGAATCTCTCTTGCCTTCTGGCTGCTCTGCAGAAATGCCTTTATAGCAAGCATGCAGGATTCAAACAGCGAGCGCTCTGAAATGTTTTGCGCGTCTACGGTCAAATTTAAGCAATTTAAGCTACTAAGATGATCATGGCATTTTCTTGCCATTTCTTGTAAAACTGTTAGTTTTACAGCTACTGATTAATTTAGTTCACAGTTATCACCTAGAATGGACCTGAAAGAAGTAACTGGAGGAACCAATTTGTTCAGAAAAAAGAAACACCATCACAGAATCACAGCATGGCTGAGGTTGGCAGGGATCTCTGGAGATCCTCTGGTCCAGTCCCCTAGCTCTCAGAGCAGGTGCCCAGGACCACATCAACATCTTCTGAGTGTCTCCAAGGATGGGGAATCCACCACCTCCCTGGGCAACCTGTGTCCATGCTCGGTCACCCTCACAGTGAAAAAGTGTTTCCTGATGCTCAGAGAGAACCTCCTGTGTTTCAGTTTGTGCCCATCGCCCCTGTCCCTGTCCTCTGTGTGCCCTCCCTGCAGGTATTTATGGACATGGATGAGATCCCCCAGAGCCTTCCCTTCTCCAGGCTGAACAGCCCAGCACTCTCAGCCTCTCCTCACAGCAGAGACGCTCTGGTCCCCTAATCATCTCAGTGGCCCTTTGCTGGCCTCTCTCCAGTATGTCCACCTCTGTTTTGTACTGGACCCAGCACTCCAGGTGTGGCCTCACCAGTGCCAAGTAGAGGGGCAGGATCATCTCCCTCAGCCTGCTGGCAACACTCCACCTCAATGACATGACACTTTGTCATAGCACCTTCAAGAAAAAAAAACCCAAACCACCAAAACCCCTCCAACAAATGAGAAGTATTTCTATAAATTTCAAAGGAGAAAAACACTCCGAAAAGATGCTGTCAACATTTTCAGTAATTCCAAGCTCTGCTTTTCTGTCAGCGCTGAACACAATCTTTTTGGAGGGAGACTGGGAAGACTATCAGGATTTAAATTTTTTGATTCTCCTT